TTTCTGTTAAAAGGGTTCCTAATCTGGACTCCCAGAAAGTCTGGACAAAATGAAGGTTGTCCCCCCGTCCCCAGGTGAGTAATGATGGTGGCAGAAGGGCCACTAGCTCCTTCAGATTTACATACAACTTTAAGACATTTAAATTATGTGCTAGGTCCCCTTATCTTTATATCTTTATAGCTTCCTTCAGATTGTCAAAGGGATTGTTGATGGCCAAAAGGTGAAAAAGTACTATTCTGAAGGATGGTCCCTCAGATCTACTACTCTTCATTTAACCAGGTTAGTTAAACTCCATTACAACACAGTCTCAGTAATTAGAAGATGGATTTTTGGTCAGCAAATGTTAAGCTATAAACAGTTGTTTCAAACAGATTGTATTAAAAAATATTTAAGCTAGAATGTTAGAGAGCTAGAAAGACAACAAACTACAGACATAAATTACAAAAAAGAAAAAAAAAGTGGCAAGCAGGGCTGGGCCTCTCCAGGGTAATTACTTGGAATGCAATCAGCCCCAAGAGGCAACAGTATTTTGTAGCAATCTGCTGACTGTAATATAACCAAAAAGTGTGGTTAAAGGGTGATTTCAAAATATATTCTTTATTCTGAGATTCCCAAAATGTTCAGGATTATAAAAGCATTTCAAAAATACTACTGAACCAGAAAAAGAATATTATTTTTAGCACCATTTCAAAACTGTAAGCTAAATGGTGCCATTTGGGGACCAGTCCCTCCAAGTAAGGCAGGGCAGAAAGAAATGAAGCTCTAATGCATGCTGCACACTCCTGTCTCAGTTACTGTGATAGAGCTTTCCTGAGCTGACTCAATGCTACTTTTAGATTTTAAAAGTAAAGTGTAATTTAAATTTTATCCACTTCATTAGCTAGAATTTCAGGTCATTTACATTTTGCTGCTAAGCTGCTAATATGTACATGTTATACTTAAAATAATACCTGTGTACATAATGTTGTGTTCAACTGTTTTAACTCACATAACTTTTATGTGGTTTTAGTTTGGTCTGAACACTGAAGGTCTATGATGTGTTAGCTGTATGATTTTTCCAGGGCACCAAAAACTCTTGTAAGGGAAACATCACAGGATTCTTAGAATTGCCATACAGTGGTAGGCAGGAGGTTAACTGGCTTTATGAGGGGCAGTTCAAATGCTTGGGAAAAAAAATACACACACACACACACACATACTAAGTGCAAACTGACCCATAATCCTGCCCTTGGGGACTTCATAGTTCAACTTGCAAAGGACCAGAAGGGTAAATGCCTATTATAGAGATAATGTAATACCATGGTGTTTTAAGTGAGCAACAAATCACACCCACTTGGGAGGCAGGGAAAGTAGTAGACTTTGAAAAGGCTACTACTAAGAGGCCATTTGATATTAAGATAGGATTTAGATACCAAGAAGACATAGAAAGCATTTCAAGAAGGAACCACATGAAAAACAGAGACATTAATTAGGGGAAGGGTTGAGAAATTATAGTAGTTTGGCAAGCTCTGTGGTTCTCAATCATCCCGCACCCGCCGAACAAACCCCATATGATGGATAATGTCAACATATGCAAACACATTTCTAAGGGCTTACACAGATTTGGCTGGATGCCTGCCCCCTCCCCCAAATTTGCGGGCAAATAAAGCACCCAACAACTCTAACTGGCATGCCACAAGCTCTTGTAACTATGTAAGCTCCTTCCTCTTGGGGGATAGCATTTATAATTCTCGACTGAAGGGAGGAAGAAAAATGATTATTTTTTCACAATCTTGGGTATTTCAGTCCTAGTAACAACAGCTGGATTCAGGTTAAGGGGAGCGGAGTTTGCACTCAGACTTCTCATTATTCAGTTATTACCATATTGGAATCCCTGCAGTTTGCTGACATTGCAAAGTGAAGCAAAAAATCACAAGAAATAACACGCTGGTGACTCTCTCCCAGATAAAAGTATTGTCAACATCATTTATGCTCAATCAAATAAAAGTTGTAGAAGCTCACATCATAAGCAAAGCTTCTGATTGACCAAGGTCAGGCAGTTGAAACAGTTTAATAATTGGATTGAGAAATTTCCAATAAGGCATTTTGAAAGAAGTTAAGTGGGAGAGGATTAATTTTTGCAAAAAATAACTTTATGACTATGTAAAGTCAAGCATTAAATGCTTAGGCCTGTCCAAGATGCCATTCCACATTCTTTCAGAATAATTACACAGAAAAGCCACTTGAGTTATAATAAACAAGTAATTGATTAGTATAGTTACATTTAATGGTCTTGGTTATAATCATAAAACTTTTAAAAATTTAATTTTTTTTTTTTTAAGATTTTTATTTATTTGTTTAACACAGAGAGAGAGAGCACAAGTAGGCAGAGCAGCAGAGAGAGGGAGAGGGAGAAGCAGGCTCTCCGCCGAGCAGGGAGCCTGATGCGGGGCTCGATCCCAGGACCCTGGGACCACGACCCGAGCCGAAGGCAGCCGCTTAACGACTGAGCCACCCGGGCGCCCCCCAAATTGAATTTTTTTAAAGATGTTTTGATCATTCCTTCTTTTGTACCACTTATGGTAAAATTTTGGTATCCACATCGAATGGATCTACTTTAAGTGAACTTTCCTTTGCTGACAATTATCCTCAGATAATGAAGACTTCCTGTAATTTGTTAATTATGGAAAGCCCCGAGTTTCTTTTCTTTTCTGGCAGGTACGGGGTTGAGTGAGCAGAGAGGTAACTAACATTTTCCTGAAATTACGCTACTTGGTGATTTATAATCATTACATTTAGTTTGGGTTGTGAACTAATCACCCTTGGGAAGGTTAACTGGTTACAGCCATATAATAATGTGACCAGTAAAGAACCTCTTGCAATAGCCCAAGCAAGAGATACCATAGGTTTGGCCTAGGGTGGTAGCAGTGGCAAGGTAACAGACTTAATTCCTTGCATATGAAACCTTATTACTTGTCCTAACCCAGCGTCTAGGGAAGGGGTTTTCAAAGCTAATTTCACGATGTTCTCAAAGGACATTGGGGCATCAGGAGAAAGGGGTAGTACGGTGGTCAAATACGGATACACGGGAGTTTGAGATGTTGGCATGATATCCAAGTGGATAAAACCAGCAGGTAGATGGAAGTATTAATTTAGAAGGATTAGTCATGTGGGATTCAGGGCAGGAAATGTTTTTCATTATTTAATTTAGAATTGCCCAATAAACCCCCTCCCCCACAATCGTTTAGCTACTGATATTTTTAGGCATGCATGAGAAAAAGCAACTATTTCCATTGTTGTAAAGGTTTTATTGAAGAAACTTGAGAATAAACACTTCATGGCTAAGTGAAGAAAAGACAAACATGGTGGCTAAAAAATAATCAAAGGGAATTTAGCTGTATCCATTTAAAATACCTGAGCATCTGTTTGTAATGTTGATTTATTTGAGGCTAGTTAAATGTGTAACTAGTTAACTAAAAATCAACTGTAATACTAAAAAGTCACCGAACTCACTTCTAAAGTATACAGCCCGAATAAAAGACATCTGTAATAAATTCTGGCCCTGTAGTGTTTATATTTAAGTTTACAAACTTGGCTGCTTCTCTACAAATAACCAGTTCTGTATTAATGCTTTGCAGCTGCCTCAACCTCTACACTCAAGTTTCCTGGGCTGTTAACATATTACTCCTTCCAGAAGGACTATATTCCCGGTTTCTACTTTCTCCTATACATCTATTAATTCCTATCTTCAACAGAAAATACCTTAACCCTAATTCACCTCATCAGTGCTAACATTTCCTTCAGCAGCAACCTGTTTATTTCTAGGTCAAATCAAAACGGACATTTGGAGTGATCCTGCTTTAGGTCTCTCTTAGATCTGGCAGTCTGGCACGATTCTCCCAGCATATATGGAATATTGCTTCATTTCCCCCTCAAAACAGAAAGGACTACATAATCCTGGATCTCAGAAGTACTTAGGAAAACTACTGCCGCCCCTCCCCCAGCATACACTGCAACATTGTAATTTACCTCTGCTTTGGAAAATGTATCTTTAAAAACGATGCTCCCAACTAAACCACTTAGCCAGTAACATTTTTGAGAAAAACAAACCATGAAACTCTTTGGGGGAGGAGTTTCTAACTCCAAATAGGCAGAGGATCCTGTAATTACCCTAATGAATACTTTTCCAAAGAGGCCTGTAGTCGGTGGGGTTTCCACCTCTTTCTAATCTAAAACTGCTTAGACAGACCAGAGAGTGTGCAGTTTTAACGAGATACCTAAAATGTGTGCCCTTAGACGTGACGGGGACAAGCCCAAGGCAAGTTACTCAGCAGCTAGAACCTGATTCTTCTGAAGAAACAAACAAAAGTGAACTTTTAAAATATTCTATTGTCTGCTTGCCATCTGATACATCATCACGGAAGGAATAAGGAAAATAACAATGATGGAGAAAAGAGGGAAAAAGAATGATACTGCAAATTTCACCAGGCTAGAATTCTTCCAGTCTTATGATTCCAGCATGGCCCGGCTACTGATACAATCTGGCTGTATTTTTCCAGGCTGCTACTTTGGCAGGGCTGGGATAAATGAATTTCACGCTCAAAGGAGTCACCTCTCCCCTTTTTGTCGGTTTCCCCCCAATTTATCTCTCCCTTCTACCTTCAAAGTCGAACTCTCCAGGAGCGGACCGACAGGATTCTCTCTCTCTCTCTCTCATAATCCTCTTCCACGAACGAAGAGGTGCCATTCCCCCCTTTGCAGATGCTTCAACCACTGCACTCCCATGAACAGGTACCTGCGGCGTTTCCTGCTTTCTCTACTCCGAAGAGCCCGAGCTCTTCTACCCCAGTCTCTGGTTTTCTCTAAACTGGCCCTCCTTTCCGCCCCCTCGCTTTCCGGGACTCGAGCCCAGTCCGCAGACTGGGACACGCGCGCGCGGCTGCCCGCACGCACCAGCTGTGCTCCCTCCCTCGTCCCCAAAGAGGGGATTGTACATGATTGGCCCGCGCCCAGTTACCTACTCCAAGGTGTGGGGTGAAGGGGAGGGTACTCCTTTGGGGAGGGGGACGAGAGAAGAAAGCACGAATCCGAGGCAGCAATCTCAGAAGACCGGGTGCTACTGCTTCAGGCACAGCCGCACCTCGCGGTGATCAGAGGATGTGCACTCGGCCCCTCCCGGCACCCGTAGAATCCCCCGCCCGTAACCTCGCCTGAGATAATTACCTTCCGGGGCGGTGCAAGTCTTAGAATCCCCTGCGTAACACTTCCGGAATTCCTTTTCCGGGACGCGAACGCTTTGTGTGTGTGTGTGCGTGTGTGCGTGTATGAGTGAATACTAAAAGGAGTCCCTGCGATTCTCCTCGCTCTCTTTTCTGCTACCACCTCCTTACTTTATGGACCGGAAGAGTCCTTGAGCCAAAATAGCTCGGCGGGTACTTCCGGGACGGGAGACCTGGGTTCCGGGAGGGTGCTGGAAGGAGAGGGAGAGGCGGCGGCGGCGGCGGCGGCAGCTGGAGGATGAAGAAGGAGCATGTGCTGCACTGTCAGTTCTCCGCCTGGTATCCACTGTTCCGAAGCCTTACCATCAAGAGGTAAGACAGGAGGGGTTACGTCGGGCCGATAGGCAAAAGGGAACTGCGACATTTTGGGCGAGTCCTAGCTCCATCCAAAAAAAAAAAAAAAAAAAAAATTAAATAAAAAAATGCAGGCCTTATAGCGATTGGATGGGAGGGCCAGTGCCGAGATTTCGACTTCCTAGTGGTATTTCAGTGGGGGGGGATTAATGAAGTCGATCCTTGTTTTCTGTGCCTCGTGTTGCGTTCGGGGGGGGGGGTGCTAAGGGAGGCAGAAGGGCATGTCGTGGTACAGTGAAGGTCAGAGGCGGGGTGACTGGGGGATTAAGCTAGTTCAAGGCTTGGGGGTTCACCATCACTGCTTTTAGAATTGCCAGAGAGAGGACGTGATCAGGAGAACTAGGTAGTCTGGACTTTGCCACTGACCCCGGTGGACTTAATTGCTTTCAGTCGCTGTGAAATGAGAACAGTGATACAGACCCTGCCTGAAATCCTATTGCGAAGCTCCCATATGATAGTGTGCATGGAAAGCGTTAGTGTAGTTATATATTGTTAGGGTTGGTAACGTACTGTGAGAGGAAGCCATTCCTGGAAAAGGAATAGAACAGTATTTGTTTTCTATCTCTCTGGCCTACAACAGGGAATCCGTCCCTGGTTTGCAGGTCAAACAGAGGAGTAACTGTTTCATCCTTCACGGGGTCACTCAAGGTAATAGAGGCAAGGCAGCTAGGAGAATACCCCCAAATGTTCAACAGCAATCATGACATCTGGAGAATGATGAAGGAGTAGGCTTTCACTCACTAAGAGGGATAAATCAAAGAACTGCATATTCATGAACAGGATTTTCTGTATTTTGTCCCGTCACCCTTTAGGCCTAGATTATCACGTATTTAGGTATCAACTGTCCTTTTCTCATTTTGTCCTCTTGGTGCAGGGTGTGAATACAGAGAGGGAAATGGTTTTGAAATCCTGAGGGATTGGAAGAGCATAAGGAGATTTATTCAGAGGGCAGTTCTTTTCCATCCTGTTAATTCATACATAGAATCTGCTTTTAGTTGGAGGTTAGAGCAGCTCAAAGGAAGATAGATCATCCTTGCATTTGAAGGTGGTTGAAGTCACACCAAAATAAAAGGAAGAGCTTCAACAGCAGCAGCGGACAGTACATCCTAACATAGAAGTTATCTTTCCTTAGGATATTCCAGTCTTACCTTATGTAGTTGAGATAGGCTTTGGGTCTGAGATGATGCTAGAGTTATTTGTGTTGGTGTAAGAGAAGGTATATTGTGAACCTGCCAGACATTTCACACTGTTCACTTGAACTGCAATCTGTGCAGGTGCCTTTTGCAACCTCTCGCATAGTTTTCCTTTGCCTTCAGCAGTAGAGCACAATGGTTAAGAATTAGATTCTGGAATCAGGGCCATCTGCCTGGCTTTGAATTTTGGTTCCACCAGCATCTTGAGCAAATTGCTTAATCTCTCTAAGCCCCATCTGGAAATTTGAGAAAATAATAGGATTGTCATGGGAATTAAATGAGATAAAACATTTAAAATGCTTGTCACAGTTTCTGGCATGTAGTAGACATACGGAAATGCTGCTTGTTGTTACATTTTGGATTTAATCAAAGCTACTTTGAAGCACAATAATTTTAGAATGTGTACCATTCATTGGAAGCTGAGAATGAAAAATAAACCAGGAGGTGGGATTTTCTGAACAGTCTACAACTAAACTGTGTGGCCTGAAACTGTTCTTTACTCTGTCTTTAAACTCTTTCTTCAGTCTGTTTAGTTCTGTGGTGATATCACTGGAACCTCACATATGACAGGATATCCCTCCATCATCTGGGCCAATCTGGTGGGGTTGTATTAGCTTTGTCATTGTCATTGTCAGCTTTAATGCTGAGATCATATTCTTGTTATTGAGTCAGCATTATTTTCCAGTGTTTATTAATCATGGGTCAGAGATGATTAGGTGGGGAAGAATACAAGTTTACTTTTTGACAAGTCCTAGAACTTTGACTCGGGCTTAAGAATCATGAGCTAGATGACTTTGGGCCCCTTTACTTTTCTAAATCTGTTACTTTCCTCAAACATAAAGGCTATATTAAGTAATCTTTTAAAGCCTGTTTTTACCTTTAAAATTGTATTAGAATAACTTGTCTCTATGTGCATAATTATATTCACTTGAATTGGATATGGAATGGGATGTTGAATATATAAGATATTGAATAGGATATAGAATGGGATAGGTACTTCATCATTTAATTCTTTTACATCCGTCAGTCAGGCCTCATTGGATTCTTACCTGCACTTGGATTTCAGCGACCGATTTAAGCCCTTCTCTGACGGCCTCGTTAACTTTGTGTAAAGCTTGCCTGGCGATGACTTGTTTATGGCCTCAGTCTTTCAGGCACGGTTCCTCCTTCTGAATTTTGGTAGCACTTGGTACATCCTCACCTGGGACAGCATTTAACATGTTGTACTATGATTTTTTCTTTTGTATTTTTTCCCCCGTCATAGGCTTTGAGTTTGTAATGGAATCACTTTGGTATCCTCCTTGACTTACATAACGTAATGCACGATATCCTCATTAGGATGACTTCATAACTGGGACTGTAGAACTCAGTGACTGATGAGAAGTAAGCAGAATCTAACTTGACGTCAGCTAATATCTTTTAAGAGTTGAAGACCCTCCAGTAGGAAGAATATGCAAAGAATTCAGAATAGAATCCAACAGTAAACAGATGTTTTGAATCCAGTCAAGGGGTGATGTAACCTGGAGGGAAAGTACAGATTCAGAATCAGACTTGAGAATTAGTGTAACTCAAAAACAAGGGACGTGGACTCTGAAATCATTGATTTGGGGCTTAGAGACATGACTAAGGAAAGAGGGCTCCGTGTGTTCTCATCGTGGTGAGGAAAACCACCCTAGATGTCTGGGAACTGGCATCCCTGCCAGCATTTTCAGGCTCAGGCCCCTGAGAAGATAAACTTCAAAAATTCTCTTGGAGAATGAATAAGAAATTTTTTCAAGGTTTTAGGTAGTATTGGAATGCGTGCAAAAACTTGAGATTGACTGCACTTACGGTTTAGTTTGCTGGCTCCATTACGAGGTAAATATTTGGGAAGTCTTGTTTGTGATTAGACAATTGACATATTTAAAAATAAAATTGAATAGATTCTTTTGATAAAAGAGTTAAAAATTTTAGAGCAACTTTTAAGTTTCAAAGGCTCACTTGAAATTGGTTAAAATTTAGCAGATTTACAAATAGAGTAGTAAGATCTGGTGGTTGACCTTAAAGGCCTGAAGGACTAGGCTTTTGAATGTAAAATTGTAAATTTGATAGATCAGCTATTAGTCTTTAAAACTGAAATAGCCCATGAATAATGTTTTCTGTGCACAAAAACCATTTTTAATATGCCAGAAAATTAGATGATGCATAAGTCGATGACATTCTCTTGACTCTGTGAAAGCAGGCCATCATTTCTTTTCACTTTTTAAAGAATATATGCCTCAAAATAATAGCATTGCTTTTACGTACCTGTGGCAGAATCGCTTGATGATTTATTATTACAGAGTAAAAAAACAAATGATCCCATGAGATTTTGAAGTGACTTTCAGTTATGGCTTTGCCATCCCTTAATTATCTGAAACAAAGTAAACTAAAGCAGCTTTATAGCTCTAGCAGTCAGTTGAACGGAAGACCACCAAAACACACCCCAGAGACATCATGAATTCTTAGCCTTTTGTGCTCATTGGCAAACAAAGAATGGTTTCCAGATCTTAAGTCTGCCTCTGCCCTCTATCTTAGAAGATGGTCAGATGCTGTTTCTGCTTAGTTTGCTACATTTCCTGTGTTGCTGCAAATATCTGCTGGTGTCTGATTTCTTAAAGACACAGGTACTCACTCAAAATTCTCTTGCGCTAATGCCTTTCATGCTCTAATTTCAGTATGGTCCTTTGTAGTTGGCTCGTTTTGTGTCTTTACCATGACTGTGGTAATACATGAGCCAAAGTTTAGTTTACCACAGGATTTATTCATATTAATTCTAATTTTTAATGTGCTACTACCAAATGTACATCATTAACATTTCCCATTTTATATTAAAAATAAAGGGAACAAGTGTTTAAAAAATTAATTGAGTTTGGATTTTTTTCTCTCTGCTTATGGTTGGTCTTTTAGAATGATGCCTTTTTGGTAAATGCCTTTTTTTTTTTTTTTTTTTTTTAAGTGTCATTCTTCCACTTCCTCAGAATGTGAAGGATTATTTACTCGACGATGGAACTCTGGTGGTTTCAGGAAGGTAAAGTATACCAGAAAAAATTCTTGAAACTTTATCATGAAGAAATGTTGTGATGATTGAATCTCAGTGATTACCATGTAAAATAAATACATTAGCTTTGGAACCATTCTCTCTCGTTTTTTTTTTTTAAATATTTATTTGACAGAGAGACACAGTGAGAGAGGGAACACAAGCAGGGGGAGTGGGAGAGGGAGAAGTAGGCTTCCCACTGAGCAGGGAGCCCGATGCAGGGCTCGATCCCAGGACCCCAGAATCATGACCTGAGCAGAAGGCAGACACTTAACGACTGAGCCACCCAGGCACCGCCCATTTTCTCCCGTTTTTTTTCCTAGCTAAAATTATGTCCTGATCTTTGTCCTCTATTTCTTGTCAATGCTGAATTTATAAGATTCAGAATTGGGTACTTCCTCCTCTCGTAGTCACTGGTTATGAAATTGGGCAGTTCCTGTCATCTTTTCCTTGAGAAAATAGGTATGATAATAACTCTACTGTCTGGAGGTAGGGAGAGGGTGGCAGGGGGAGGAGGGCATGGTATGATCCTTTGAGATCCTTCACCTTTTTTTTTAAGTTTATTTAAGTAATCTCTGTACCCAGTGTGGGGCTCAAACTCATGACCCTGAGATCAAAAGTTGCATGGTCTTCTGACCGAGCCAGCCAGGTGCCCCAAAATACTTCAGCTTTTAAGATAAAAATTAATTGTCCGTTAAAAACAGACAGCTTCACTAGGTGTATTATGTAATTCCTTAACTTTTTCTTCTCCGTGGTTAACCCTACCTCTGCCTTCTCTGTTCATGTAGTTCCTCTGTTCATAAAGGGAAAACATTGCTATGCTTCAGTCTTTTTAGTGCAAACTTGAAGAAATTTAAGAATCATAGAATTTAATGAAGTTCCTATTTTTTCATTCAGGTTTCTGCTCAGAGTTCATGTCACCTAAGTGCTCATCCCTCACGTGCCTTTCTAAAATAGCCTAACAGGAACCCTTGCTGTACTGTACTCCATTTTTGTAGGATTCTAGGTTGGAAATCATTTTCCCTTGGAATTATTAGAAAAATTTTTTATTATGGTAAAATACACATAGTGCAAGATATACTATCTTAATTACCTTTTAAGTGTACGGCTCAGTGGTACTAAGTACATTTATAATGTTGTGCAACCATCACCACCGTCCACCTCCAGAACTCTGTTCATCTTGTAAAACTGAAACTCGGTCCCCATGGAAACACTGGCTCCCCATTCCTCCTCCCCCTAGCCCCTGGCCACCACCGTTCTACTTTCTGTGCCTGTGATTTTGAGTACTCTTAGTACCTCATATGAGTGGAAGTGTGCAGTATTTGTCCTTTTATGACCAGCTTTATTTCACCAGCATGATATCATTGGGGTTTGTCCATGTTGTGGCGTGTGTCAGTTTCCTTCCTTTTAGCTGAATACTGCTCCGCGGTATGAGTGGGCACATTTTGGTGCTGTACTCTTCACCCCCTTGCCTCACTTCATTTTTCTGCATAATACTTCTTTCCATCTGACATAATTCCCATAACTGTCCAGGTATTAGAATGCCGGCTTCATGAAACTGGGACTTAGACAGTTTTGTTCCTAGCTTTTGGAGCAATGCCTGACACATAAGAGGTGCCTGATAGACATTTGTTGGATGAAGGAACTTAGAAATGTAATTAGAATTGTATATGTTTTCAATAACACTAATTTTTTTAAAGATGTATTTTTATTTTAGAGAGAGAGAGTGCGTGAGTGGGGGGGCAGAGGGAGAGGGGGAGAGAGTCTTAAACAGACTTCACGTTGAGCAGAGAGCCTGATGTGGGCCTTGATCTCACAACCCTGAAATCATGACCTGAGCTGAAATCAAGAGTCAGACGCTTAACCAACTGAGCCACCCAGGTGCTCCACAGTAACGCTAATTTTAAAACCCTCCCCGCTTTTCTTGTCATGCATTTTCTGTGTAGCTTTCTGGATTATATTTCTGTTTTTGGTATTCTCAGCCTCATAATAACTTGAAAATTATTAATGGAGAGCCTCATTAACTTGGAATAACTGCAGGATAAGTAAACAGAATAGTCAGCCAAGACTCAACTTTGGGATACTTAAAGACATAATTTTATTCTCAAAAAAAAACAATAATGAGGTCATATAAATGGGTCTATAAAGAAAATAATTTCTAACATTAGAAAGTACTGTAAGCATACTGAAGAGCCCCTGTGGTGGTTTTCATTGGCCAGATGTTTGTGGGAGCTTGTGGCCGGTCCTGTTAAATACTGTTGAACAGCTCTGTGGGGCACTCTGCTTCACAGGGATGTACCGATCAGAGAGGGACCCAGCCCTTTTGGAGTTGATGGTTCAGCTTCCTATTTTGTGGGAGTTGATACAGCATAGTGCTGGTCCTCTAGTCCCACTGCCTACTGTCAGATCATATCTTTGTAATTTCTCGTGTTCTGTGCCTCATTTTCTCTGTCTGTCTGTAAATGGGGTGACTGATGTCCTAGAACTTACCTTGGGTTGTTACATAGATGAAAAGAGATCATGTGTAAAATGTCTCACCCAATACTGTTATTGTATGCAATTAGGAAACATTAACTGCACTCACCATCATCATGGATCTCAGTCTGAATATTAAACAAGCACACCAGTAAAGGTGTAAGTGAAAATTGTGATGAGACATTAAATCACTGGGGGTGGGCTGGCTAAGGATTGCAGGGAATACCCGGAAGAAGTAACTTAAAAGCGTCTCTGAGACAGGAAGTTTGGGTGGAAGGTAGTCAGGTGAAGGGTGGAGGGAGGAATCTTCAGGCTGAGGGAACAGCATTAAGGAGGGCTCTGAGGCATGGAAGGTCTTGACCTGCAGGACACTACAAGGGAGTCATGTGGCTGGAGTGTGGAGGGCTGAATGGTGAAGAGTTGGTTGCTGCCATGGGGGAGGTGGTAAGAGGGTGTGTGGGAGTTCTGTTAAAGATCCTAGAATTTATTCTGAGGTCGGTGGGAGTGCATTGAAGAGCTCTGAGCAAGAGAGTGACTTGAGCAGATTTCAGGTTTTGAACTAGGACTGGTTGCCATGTAGATACTGAAGACCAGTTAGGGGGATACTGCATTGGATCCAATGTGAACTGACAGTGGCTTGACCTATGGTGGTGACCCTGGAGGGGGAGAAGTGAATGGATTTGAGATGTCTTGGAGCTGCACCTTCAGAACTTGGTGACAGAGAAGGAGGTGGTAAGAATCACCCTCTCATTTCCGGCTGAACAGCTAGATGAATGAAGATGTCATTTGCTCAGGCTGAGAAAAGCCTTTGATTTGAAAAGGGTAGTAATTTTTTAAAATTAATTAATTAATTTAAGATTTTATTAATAAGCATGAACGAGAGCAAGCACAAGCAGGGGGAGTGGCAGGCAGAGGGAGAAACAGGCTCCTCACTGAGCAAGGAGCCCGATGTGGGACTCGATCCCAGGACCCCGGGATCATGACCTGAGCCAAAGGCAGACGCTTAACCGACTGAGCCACCCAGGCATCCCTGAAAAGGGTAGTAGTTTTAGATTGGATTCCTTTTTTGGTTAAAAACTTGAAAATTATAGGTGTAATTTAAATGAGGGACATTTACAAAATGCACAGATCCTGAGTGTAACGTTTGGTGAGTTTTGATAAATACATATACCTGTTTCATCACCTCTTCCATAAAAAATACCAAACATTTCCATTCCCCAGGAAAATCCCTGCTGCACCTTTTTGGCCGATGCTGCCTACCTCCCCCCGCCCCACCCCAGACAAACACTGATCTGATTTATATCTCCATACCTTAGTTCTGCCAGTTCTAGGACTTCATGTTAAGTGAAATTGTATAGTATGTGTTCTTTTGTGTCTGGCTGCTTTAACTTCACATAATGCTTTTGGGATTCATCTGTGTTGCTGTGTTTCATTGCTAAGTAGCTTTCTTCAAATGCGTCTTCTTTTTTTCTTTTAAAGATTTTATTTTTAAGTAATCTCTACCTACTCGAACTTAAAACCCTGAGATCAAGAGTCCTATGCTCCACCGACTGAGCCAGCCAGGTGCCCCTAAATGTGTGTTTTTAAAGCTCAGTGTTTGTGTTTTGTGTGTGGACTTGGTTGTGTATCCCTCTTAGTATATTCCTTGCTATCCTAATCTTTTTTTTTCTTAGAGTCAATGGTATTTTATTTTATATTGTTTTATTATTTTATTTTATTTATGAATATTTATTTTTTTTAAAGTTTTTATTCGAATTCCAGTTAACATACAGTGTAATATTAGTTTTAGGTGTATAGTATAGCGATTCAACACTTCCATACATCACCCGGTGCCCATCATGACAAGTGCGCTCCTTAATCCCCATCACCTAGTTCACCCATCCCTCACCCACCTCCCCTCTGGTAACCATCAGTTTGTTCTCTAT